CCGGCGCCGTTCCAGTCGCTCCTGGCGCGTCTCCACCGTTTTCGGCAGCGGCGTGTCCTTGGGGTCCTCGAAGTCGGCCATGAACTTGGCCACTCCCAGGTAGCCGCGAGACTTTTTCTCGTGTGGCAATTTGTCCACCGGCGGCATAAACGGGATGGGATCCCGTGCCGCAAATAGCGCCAGCAGATTCGGCGGCAGATATTGGGTCATTTTGGGGTCTTTTTTTTTTGTATTACCTTTTCCTGAAGTTCCTCGTCTGCGGAAAAATGGGCACACATTGAGGTTAAGGTTCGATTTGTTTACCCCGCAGGAGAGAATTAACGCTCGGGGGGCTTACCTTAGGCAGCCATCCGCTTGGCAAGAACAAGTCTTCGCTACTTCCTGCAAGTACCAACTATTGGATCGATGGCACGCTAATTATTTTACAATTTTTCTTCAGTTTTTTCGCCTGGCTTGTGTAGCTGGTGTGACCGCCGGTCGGTCTATAAATAACGCAGCAGAACTCAGCAAAAATACTGAAAATACTCACATACATAGTTTAGAACACGTAAAAATACCACAATAAAATTGACAAAGGGTGAGGAACTCGAATTTTCATTAAGGGAATTTATAGTATAAGGTTGGAAGCCTTGCTTAAAATATATGTGTGTAATGGGTTATTTAAAAAAATATTGTAATTCTCTAATATACGATATGTTTAGATAAAATCAAGTAGTTTTTGTTAGGCAGTGAGTCTCCATTCTATTCGGTAACTAATTTTTTGCAAGATTGTACTTATTTCTTATCTTTCTAGCAAAGGTAGTTATTATCCGGCTGATGCTGTGTGACAATGGGTATTGACAGTATAAGGTTGGAAACCTTGCTTAATGTGAACAAAAAATTCCCAAAAAGTTAAAAAATAATTGTAAGTCCTGTATAAATAGACTGTTATTTAAAGTAAGTAATTTCAAAGTAAAGAAAATAAATGTTTAAGGAAAATTAAAGACCGCAAAAACATATTTGTTAAATAAATTGAATTGAAAAATATTTTCTTCTGCAGAAGCACAAAAACAAATGACAACCAGAGGGACTATTTATTTCTTCTCTGCATTAAGACAAAGTGCATTCAATAAAAGCGCCTTATAAATAAATATACTCAGTTTAGGCCTAGGCAATTCATACATCTTTTTTTTTAATTTTATGTCAATGTTTACCCACACTGATCGCCAATGCCAACTCTTTTTCTCTGCCCACCATTCTCAGGTACTTTTTCGGTATTTTTCCTGTGCCTGTCCTGCTTACTCATCGCACCAAAGCCGAATAACGGATCTTATGATCGAACCTGTGTTAAACGTGATTTCGTTCTTTTTTGCATAGTTTGAATTTTCGACCGACCAAAAGTGTTCGTTTTATTTTTTAATCAAAAAACCATTTATTAACGTGAGTATGGACCCTCTGAATGAGAAGGAGATCGAACTTACGAGCTTACGCAGCCAAAGCGCAATGCAAATGGCCGAAGTTGAGCAAGAAAATGGCGCTGGCGCCCTGAAAATTGCCACCAATGCCACAAATGCGGATCCAAGCGATCATCTCGCCGTGGATCACCAGGACGAGGCGCTGACCCCCAGTGTGAAGACCAAATTCGAATACCCGCCCCCGCCGCCACCACCCACTCCCGTTCAGGCTCCGCCGCCCGCCAAGGCCACCTCTGTGAAGGATCACCAGGAGCACGACGACGACGAGGCCAACTCCGAGAAGTGGGAGGACCCCTGCGCCCCGCCCCCACCGCCTCCGCTGCCGGCCAACGCATTCCTGGCCACCGGACTGGGCTATCTCAAGCTGCCCGCCTTCAAGCTGAAGGACGCGCTGGAGAAGGCCATCACCAAGCTGGAGGCCAACAAGCGGATGCAAAAGACTAGTCCCGAAGTGAGTTGGCTTTTTATACTTAAATTAAGCGATCTTTAATTTTAAGTAGTTATTCTGTAAGTAATTAGCCCTGTAGTTACAAGTATGAATGTTTAAAATTATAAAAGTTATGAACTTTTACATGTCGTCTCCTCTTTATACTACTATTTTTTGTAAACTAAGCGATCTATAATTTTAAGTAGTTATTCAGTAAGTATATAGCCCTGTAGTTACAAGTATGAATGTTGGAAATTATAAAAGTTGCATATATGAACTTTGTCATGTCGTCTCCTTTTTATATATCGTTAAACTATTTATCATTTTTTTTGTAAACTAAGCGATCTATAATTTTAAGTAGTTCTTCGGTAAGTTATTAGCCCTGCAGTTACAAGTATGAATGTTTAAAATTATGAAAGTTACATACTTATATGAACTTTGGGATGTCTTGTTTTTATTTATTGTTAAACTATTTACTACTTTTTATATTATTTAGTATATGCCTTGTTTTAAATTAAATTACTCTTAGAACTAGATTTTTAAGTCTTCCGTTTCCCATATATATATGTGTAAGTTCCATGGCATATCTTACTGTACCTCTTATAATTTTTCAAAAATATCTTAGTTTTCAAATTAGTTAAATATTTTTCGACTTAACAAGCTATAATTATATTATGGTTCTAGCTATTCTTGATGTAAAAGTCAGAAGCTCGGGGTCCTGGGATAATATAAACTAGGCATTTCACTAAGTCGGCCAAACTTTTATATTTTTAGTACAAATACCAATTCAGCAATATTTTATACATTTTTTCAAAATTCAAAGATTGGCCTAACATACGACCTTTTTTTTTACAAATTTACAACTATGTAAATCTTGTTTATAGGAACTTTTATATTATTGCTTTAAATGCTAGCTAAATTTCGATATTATGACGATTATATTTCTTGAATAAAAAAAAATATAACATTTATTTGTTATTTTATCAAAGTATGACAACATCTCCCATTAAAATGTGCACAGTATTATTCTATTCACTTTGTTCAACCTAAATATTTTTTTTATTTTATACGTTAATTTTTCTTTTGCAAAATCTTAAAAATGAACTATAAACTACTCAATTCTAAAGTGAAAATCAGAGTAGGTCCGATAAATACGTCAATACATTAGTTGTTTTATCGTTCCATTCGACATTATCTTTTCAAAGAATACAGACAGATACTCATTCATTCTTCATCATGACATTTTTTAAATGTTGTTTTTATTTTGGTAAAAAGTCTTCTCGTTCCATGAAAAACAAGAAGGTGGAGACGATTGAGATGTTACCCAGGCGTTCGGGTCAGGAGACAATATGCGATGGCCCGCTGATGGCCTTCACATCCTCCAAGGCTCTGGTGTTGCACCCCAAGATCAAAAAGCCCGCTGTGCTTATGCAGTTGGAGAGGCATTTTAAGGTCGTCCAGTTGCTGGCCAAGCAGAATCGAGTCTTCGCACCCATTTCCCGTGAAGCCATTCCGATGCATGGGGCCTCCAAGCAGCCGCACGAGGATGAGGGTCTGGCTCTGCAAGTTCTCTCGGCCAGGGCATCCACACCGTACACCCAGCCCACCAGCATGTTGTCCTGCACGGCCGTTAGCTGCGATCTCGACCACGACTCGCCGAAGAAACAACAGACCGGCAAGAACATGGTGCCAGATCAGCAGCCACAAAAGGGCCAGCACAAGCGTGCTCCCAGCACCGGAACCCACAAGCCAGGAAGTCTGCGGGCGCCGAAGGCTGTGCGTCCTGCCGCAGCTCCAATGGCTAGTAGCAAGCCGGTGAAGATGTACACCCGCTCCCACCTGCTGGACATTCGCAACGGGATGTTCAGTGCCCTGATGCACAGGTCTAGGGAGAGCTTTGTCATGCCACGCATCGCCACCTGCGATGACATCGAGCTGGAGGCTCGGCTGCGGCGCATGAATCTCTGGCGCACCTCGGACGGCACAAGGTTCCGTGCTCGCTCCAGCACCAACAACTCCAGCACGAACAACAACGAGTGCATGCCTGCCTTCTTCAAGAACAAGAACAAGCCGCAGATGATCAGCGACGAGTCCATCATCCAGAGCCAACCACCGCAGCCGCAAACAGAGTTCCAGGTGAGCACTTCTATTTATATATACTATATACTTTACTTACTATTTACTTTCTTATCCTAAATGGGGGTTTCTTAATTTTTAAATTCATTACATAACATTTATTTAAAAATCAGTTCTCTACCTAGAAAATACTACCAATCTCAACCCATTGAAAGTTTTTTTTCGTTAAACTTTCACCAAAAAATACTTTATTTTTTTTAACATTCTTTTTTTTTTTTTAATAATTTTGAGATGCGCAAACTGAAAATTGTAAATAATTTTCAGAAATATTTTGAACTAGTTAGGGCGCCGTTTCTCGGTGTTCTGGAAAATCTGACCGTCGTCCAACAGCTTAAAAAAAAACTGTTAAAAAGAATATGAAATTGAGTTAAACGTGAACCATTTTTTTACAGCCTGAATTCTCACCTCAATCAAAAAGGCATTGAAATAAAAATCTCTATACAAAATTTGGTTCATACAATTTCTTGTTTGTCCTTTTTGTGTTACAATTTTTCGATTGGCTGAAATTTAGTAGAGATTTGTTAACGAATTTAAAATAAATGTTCGATTCTTCTCAAATGTTCTTAAACTTTAAATTGAATATAAATTAAATTATAATAAATTCAAATATTTCTTTATTTAATTGTATCGAATTTCACATTACATATACAGTAAATATTTCCGTGAAAAGTACATATTTCAAAAGATATTAGACTAATATGGGATTGGAAGTAATTTAGCTTTATAATCCTTACTGTTTAGTTTAATTACACTTATCAGGTAGACTATTTTCATCTGTCGACCTATTGTTTTGACTGCAACTGTGTATTAGGTAACACAAAGTCGCATTATTCCTAGGCTTATCTGATAAATCAATGATTGCAACGCATGACCTCCAGAGGTCTTTGCCAATCATGCTAATCATTTGCTATTTGACTGTAGCATTATTCTAGAATATTTTTACAAATGATTGGAAATAGGTATTAAGTAATTACTACAGTCGATCGAATTTGCCTGTTTTCTTTTATTAAACTGAATACGAATTGCTACCATCTGCTTCACCTGTTGGCCGAAATCACTTCTCCAGGTAATGGCACTTTCCATCGACCTCCCGCAACCGTTGGGCCGCCTGCTCGGGAGTCAAATCGCGCTGAGCCATGGCCAGCAGCTCGAATCCCACCATGAACTTGCGCACGGTGGCCGATCGGAGCAGTGGCGGATAGTAGATGGCGTGCAGGGTCCAGTGGGCACTGGATGCGTGGGCATGCTCCGGTCCAGTCGGTGCTCCGTGCCAGCCCATCGAGTAGGGAAACGAACACTGGAACAGGTTGTCATACTTGGTGGTCAGTTCCTTGATGGTTACCGCCAAATTTTCTCGCTGTCCTAGCGTCAGATCATTGATCCTCTTATTGTTGTTGCGCGAGATTAGCATGGTTTCGAAAGGCCAAGTGGCCCAGAAGGGCACCACCACCAGCCAGTCGGGATTCTCGATCACGATCCGCTCCTGCCGCTGCAACTCCCGCTCCACGTAGTCGGCCAGCATGGGTCGCTCGTTGGTGGCATAGTAGGCACGCAGACGCTCCTGCTTCAGCTGCGGTTCTGTAGGCAGAAAGGAGCACGACCAGATCTGGCAATGCGGATGGGGATTAGAGCAGCCCATGGCGGCTCCCTTGTTCTCGAATATCTGCACCCAGGCGTACTTGGCACTCAGCTCGTTGAACTGCCTGATCCACCTTGATAAAGCAGGGAGATAAAAATTGTTTTTATCACGGGTTTATCACTGATGTAAGCCATAAATCCTATACTTACTCGTCGATAACAACGACAATTTCTGCTGCACTCATTGTGGGCAAGGTGAGATTCGATTTGGGATGGAAGCACATCACCCGACAGTTGCCACGGGCAGGTGCTATCTGGAACAGGGGATCATCACTGTTGGGCGGAACGGGCACTACCTCTACAAGGGCCGGGAAGTCGTTCTCAAAAACATAGGTGCTCTTGTAGGCAGGCGTTTCCTAATTATGGAACATAGTAATTAGAATATTGGGATATTAGGATATGGTCTTTCAAGTATACAATTCCGTTGGGCCGGGTGACTCCAGGACAAAGGGGATTGGTGGGATCGAAGTCGGGCAGCTCGTTCTTCACCGGTTTCTCCTGCTGACCCGACCAGGGGCGTTGGGTGCGATGTGGGCACACCAGGACCCATTGCCCGGTCAAGGGATTAAGGCGCCGGTGCGGGTGTTCTATGGAAAGATAAATGTATTTGAATATGTAATTGATTTTAAGATGATATGGGAAAAGAATATAGATTTCTTTCTTGAAATTATTAGAAAATAATATATTGTTTGCGAAGCACTATTCGGTTGAACCTAAGTATAGATTGTACTACATACTTAGGTTACAAATTATAGATTTGTTTCATTATATCAAAAAAATCTATTGTTTTTGTAGCATTTTTATAGATGTTTTTAAATTAATAGAATATTAAAAACCACTGGTTTTGGTATGGAAACTCTTAGTAATACCACTTTTTAGTATATTCCCGGTTTAAACGGTTCACCTACCACTGGCCACAAACTGCATCGTGTCGAAAGTCTGGCACTCGTATCACTCCGATCGTATTATGACTACTGTTTACAGTTATGGTCGCTGCTCCGCATTCGACCAAATTCACGGGACAAGCGCAATGTCAACCTGCCGCTTTGCGATTACGGTTGTTATTGCTAGTGCTATTCCTATTCCTATTTCTATTCTGATTCCGATTCCGATTTCGATTCCTATCCCAGTACTCGTACTCGCAGCCGCTATGTGTGATTTTCCACTTGCATTCCGCTCTTCTCGCTCCACTCCCGCTCTTTGGCTCTCGCTCGCTCTGCCGGCGTTCGTTTAGCCTAGCACGCATTCCGCCTTTTAGTTGAACTGCTTCTGCTGTTTTGTTATTGCATTATAAGCTTTATCTCCCACTCAGCTGATATGGGTGTGAGTGCGTCTGTGGGTGTGCGGGCCACTTCGCCGGCCCTTAGAGATGGGCAGGGTTCGATTGGTTGCCCTTAGAGATGGGTCTTATGTGCCTTTTTTAAACAACCGTTTACTTTTAAAGTTTCTTTCTAGATTGTTTTTTAAATTTATGAAATTTTAATATTAGTCCCTTCAGCGTTACGTATTTTGTTGAAATATTAACTTACAAATTAAAAAACGTTCATTTTATTGACCCTATGGAAAACTTGATTATGATTCATTAAAATTAAGTGCTGAAAAAATTGGGTGGCTCCGAATTTATGGTTATTTAATTGGGCCTGACCGATTTTGAATCAAACTTTTATGCATATCACACAAAATCACCGTTTAACGAAGTAAATTGCCGTGACGATCGCACCAATAACATACAAAAGTTATGAATTAAATATATTTCCTTACATTATTCCATTCGGCATCATTTTTCAGCTTTTTAATTTTAAGGTCGAAAAGCTTTCTTTTACCCCTTTTTTTTTTTAAACAGTCATTTTAGACAAGAGATGCAGACATCTAAAGTACCTAAACTTATTACTAGAAGTTGGCCATATCGATTGATAGAGTTCAGTTGGTAATCCTTAAAAAACTAGACAGGGACGATGGACAAAATCTATAAAAATGTAATACATGTTCCTAAATGTTTAATTTAATATTTAAGGATCCGGCAATTGTTAACCAAAGGCGCATTGGAAGCGGTCGTTTCAATCACTCCAAGTGGGGATACAACGACGGTGACTACCATTCGTACCACAATGGCAAACCGCATATGGAAGAGCTAAATCCTAAGCACCAGAACAGCAGCAACATGACGGTACTGCAGTTCTTCGACAATGGGGAGATTAGCAGCCTACCCCGAGGACGACCAAACACTCCTGTTATGGGGATGTCCAATAACCGCCCCGAGAACGAGACGTTGCAGTCGAACGAGTCCAGCGAAGATCTGAGTCGCGCCAACGAAAACTACGTGAAGCGCGTAATGTCCGGATTCCTGGTTGTGTCGAAACCAAAGTCTCGGGAGTCTGAAGATAGACATCATCGGCGCTACAGGAACCAGAACGAAGAGCCTGAGTGGTTCAGTTGTGGTCCTACCTCCAGATTGGACACCATCGAGCTGTGCGGATTCGATGAGGAAGAGGAGAGAATGCTTAAGGAGGGCCACAATCACAAAGGAGTTGGAGAATCAGAGAGGGAGGCGCCCAAACATAAGGTTAGTTTGCAGTTTATTCACTTCACCACGAGTCTAGTAAATATTTTTATATATTGGTATTATTAATTTGCTTTAGGTTGACCAAAACAAGTACAAATGGACGCATCCCGAGCCCGTGGGCCGCAATAAGTTCATGCCAAAGCACGATACAAACAATAACCATAATGTGGAGAACATGAACAAGGTTTTGGCCAACGATCATCAGCTGCCAAAGGATGACAAACGCTCGGGCAGTGTCCGTTCGTTTCAGTTTGATAAGTTCAATCAAAGCCAGCCGAATTATGAGAGTAGCAATTATGCAAATCAACAGCAGCAGCCACCACAGCAGCCTCAGCAAATTCAGCAGCAAACCAATGCAAACGAGAGTAATTCTAAATTTATGTCGTTCTTCGCTCGTGATAGGAACTCCTCGTCGTCTTCGTTGAACGAGTTTTTCAAACAGGCCATGAACCAGGGTCATGGCAGCAATCCGGAGCAGCCCAAACCAGCGGCTCACATGAACCAGATGCCGTCGGTCGATCAGCTTGAGGCCAAGTGGCGTCGCAACTCACTGACCACTGCTGGCGAGACTGCCAACAAGCAGTCGGAGACCTTCCAAAAGCTTATAGGCTCTCTGTCTGCGGCTAAGCCACAACCACAGGCGGCGGGCTTCGATGCCATTTCTAACTTCATTATGCAGCAACAGCAGTACCAGCAGCAGCAGCAGAAGCAGCACGTCATCATCCAGCAGCAACAACAGCAGACTGCCTTTTTGGCGGGCCTGCAGCTGAAGGCGATCCTCGGACGGGCCGACACCCAGTTGCTCCTGCTCCGCCTGACTAAAGGTGAGCTAGAAAACCATTTATTGTATCTTTTGATTAAACTTATCTTGGTTTCCTTCTAGGGGAAATATCCAAGCATGGTCTACTGGTGCAGTTGGCCAACCCTCGCTTGTCGGACATGGATCGCGAAGCCATCACGGCTGTACTGCAGTTCACCAACACCCAGCAGCAGCAACAGCAGCACAAGCAGCAGCTGGACATGCTCTCGAGCACGGTCATTGCCAGTCAGCTGCAGAATCTTCACAACCTGGCCATTGTCCAGCAGACACTGGCCGCCAGACAGCAGCCGCAGCAAAATCCACAGCCGCAGGTGCCGCAGCAACTGTCGCAGGAGGACTTGCAAGCCCACGCCAATGTTATAATGCGAAATGCTGTGATGAAGCGCAAGCTGGAGGAGCAGACCAACAAGTTAATGAATGGCGGGGCCAAGCATCAGTCGCAGCAAGCACAATTCAACCGTGGCCAGCAACGCCATGGGCGACCGGATGCCGCTTCAAATGCTCTGCTCCATGCCTTGATCTCGGGTGGTGGCAATAACCAAGCTTCTGTCAACCTGATGAATGAACAGCAACAACAGCAGCAGCACCAGTCCCATTCAAACAGCCGACGTCCTGGTGCAGATGCCAACTTGCGATTCGCTGAGAACCAAAATTTGCAAGCTTTCGAGCCCAGCCAGCCGCACTTTCCTACGCAATACAAGCCGCAATATCAACAGTCCCAGCAACCACAGCCCCAGCAGCCCCTTCAACCCCATATGCGCCATCAGAACAGCTCCGGCGGAGGCAACAACTTCAGCAAGTCTCAAATGCAGGCCCAATCAGCCATAGCCATGTTGCCCAATGGCGGAGGTGAGTCGCTGTAGAATTTAGGTCGGAACCTCTATTAACAGATAGTAGATGCTTGGGTACAACGTTTAGTTATACTCCACTTTGGTTTATCTTTCCTATATATTTTATAATGTACTCGTAGAGTAAACGACCCCGTTTTGATCATAGAACACCTTGATCACTGAACTATCAGCTAAAGACTACTTATACAAAAAAACAAACCAACTTTTGCACACTTCAGAGTACTAACTTAAGTATTAATAGTCCCTGCATTCGAAGAAGTTTCGAACAAAGCAAATTATGTGGCTTTGTACTGCGTTTTAAACTTTTAGGGTAGTGTAATAATTAATAAGCCTTATGGCCCCTTTCTTAGTATTTATCTTCATTCTGAGTCAGGCAGTCATTTTACAGTCTCATTTCTCGAAAGCAGAGCAAATATGCACTTTAAGGTGCACTTTCTCGTATTATTTGTAAACTGGTTTTCATGACTGCAAACATTGCACACTTTGTTTGCACGTCACCAGTGCATTGGAACACAGCTCGAAGTGTTGATTCAGACTGACACTTGAACGGATCTTCAAGGATGTGCTGGGTAATATTATTCCAGATAGATAAGTTAAGGCAATAAAGTAGTGGGACTTTTAGAGATATCTTTTAAACTAAAATTTGTACCTAAAACATAGTTTGTAGAACGAGTTCATTTGAAATTCCTTATTATTTTCTTTTCAAAACCTGTTCCTAGGCTCTCCTAAAAGTTCCCAAGCCTATTTGTCTCCCTGTTTGTGCAAAACACCGGCAAAAATTTATTTGCTGAGCAAACTTAAGATTTTCCTACCGAACAACATCTCAGTCCCCTGACTCATGGGTTCTATTTGCCTCCAACTTTGTGCGCAAGCGGTTATCCATCGATCTCCCCATTGGATATTACTAATGTTACGTACGTGGGACATTCCCAGAGTCGAAAGGTATTTGCATCTCTCGCTTTATTGCGGGCTTTTGCTTTCAGTTGTTCAAGGTACGCCTGAGGCGAGGCATAAAATATAAAAACAAACGTTTAACGACAGTCCCATTGGCTTTATCAGCCAGCGGAATGTAGTAGAGTACAGATGGGACCGAACTGGGCGAGGAGAATTAATCGCCACGCACGATTACCAAAAGAGGGTCAAGAGCAAAGCTTAGATTCTCTGGGAAGATTCAGTAGGCTTTCAAAATCCAGAAAGAAAGCTACAGAGTTCGCCATGCTTTACAAGATTTTATGACAGTCTTAAACATTTAATTGTTTTTGGAGAACTCCCCCGAAGTTAAAGGTTTTTATAGTACTATAGTATTATTTTAAATCCAAACTTTGCACTATCTGCTGTTTTTAAAACGTTGCCGGATAAAAAAGAACCATGGACTCCGTTTTGTTTCTATTTTTATTGCATATTTAAAGATAAAACCGCCTTAGTGGCTTAGTTCTGGGTGATGGGATTGTGGACTTTTCCGGCAAACAGTATGTTCCCAGTGGACTCCTCCTCGATGAAGAACACAAACGGCCGGTTCACGTTGAACTCCTCGATGGTGGTGCTGCCGCCGAACTTGTTCTCAATCTCCACAACGGTGGCTGCATAGGCCTCCGTTCCCTTCTCGTTTACATTGATTCCAGCCTTTTGCAGGATGTTGGACACCTTCACCTTGCCGGCCACGTCGGCTCCGCGGGTCAGACCCGGCAGCGAGGCGCTATCCTCGAAGATTTCGCGCACGCCCAGGCTGCGCAGCGTCTCCTTGAGGTTCTGCTGGTAGTCAAAGTGGAACTTGGGCAGCGTCACTTTCACCTTGACCTCCTCCATGGCCCACTGGGCGCCCTTCAATTCGTCGTTCTCCAGGTTCTGGACCAGGTCGTGGATGCCATTTAAGGCATAGGGCAGCAGCACGAACAGGGAGTTCTTGCCCTTGTAGGGCAGCCGCAGGATCTGTGCCTTCAGCTTGTCCGAGTTGGTGTAGTAGAAGTAGTCGGTCTGTTCCATGAACTCAGCCCGCGACTGATCTTCCTTGCTGCGGAAGAAGGGTCCCTGGAAGGTGTTGCTGAACTGCCGGCGCCACAGACCATTGAAGTAGATCAGGTTGGTCAGCAGCATCACGCTGCTGCGCACATTGTCGGGAGCCACCAGCTGCTGAAGTCGGCCCTGTGTAATGTTGGCGGCCCAGGCGTTGATGGCATCTGCCGCTGCCTCCGGATTGGTGAAATCCAAGGCCTCCACTTCGCTGTCGTAGAAATGCTTCAGGATGGCGGTGAACTTTTGCTGGGTCTCGATGAAACTGTCCGTGAAAAGCTTGGTGCGCACACTAAGGGTTTCGTGGAGCTGGTTCTCCTTCTTGAAGGAGTTCAGGGTCTTGCGGTAGAACTCCCTGACGTTGTTCTGCGACCGGATGTCCGTCTGCGTGTTGGCCAACTCCGTCTGCGTCTGGGTTCCGTTTCCGGCCGCCTCGGCCAGCAGAGCCAGCACCAGTTTGACGGAAAACGGTGAGATGATGACATTCTTGGCGGCCGTCTCGTTTTGTAGCACCGTCTTGAGCAGGTGCCACGAGAAGGGATCATGCGAGTCGCTCCTGAAGGGCACAAAGGTGTCTATATCATCGTAGATGCCTGCTCCACTGGGGGGCAGGGCCGCAGACCCGCCTGGCAGCTTGTCGGTGCTAGTTTCAAACACGCCCTGGGGCGTTGTGGTCGTGGGAATGGAGTTGCCATTGCCGGTTGTAAAGGCACTCAAAAGCAGCAGCATCACTGCCAAATCCAAATTTCCACCCATCTTTGTCATCTTTGCTCCGATCTTCTTCGTTTCGATCTTCTTGTGGCTTCCGCTTTGCGCTTCTTATTCGCAGCAAAACAACTGTTAAATGCGCGGTTTGCGGGGAGTGGTGTGGGGGCGCCGAAGGAGCGAGCGATAACCGTTTGACGCGCCGTCCCAACTGAGAGTGACTGGTGGGCTGAGCGGACGGACCGTTTTAAAAACCAGCTTCAAGCCTCTCTCGTCTGCCCCTCTGCCGCTGCGCTGCCGACGCCGGCTTTGGCGGCGCTGTGGCTGTGCTTGTGTGCGGTTTTTGTTGGGACTCCCAGAGTGGAGGAGCTCGGCCTACGTCATTATCCTCAAGCGATGATGATTATGTCGATGATGGTGGCAGTGAAGATGGAACAAGTGAACCAGCATTGGGTGAATGTGCACTGAGAGAATTTTATTTTGGGAGTGCATTGCAAATTTTGTGTTTTAAAACTTAGAATGGCATTTATGTATTTTTTTTTCAGATTTAAGATCATTTTTATTCAGAACAAATTGGGAAATAAATTATACACGATTTTAGTTTTAAGCAATTTGTAAACTTATCACAGCGGAAAAACAATTTGAAATCTTATCTCAGCGGTTTCAAAATTTATAAGGTCGCTACCGCTATTGCTCAGTTTTTCTGATATTGATTCCTTAAGACTAATATATTTAAAAGTTTAGGGAATATCCAAAAAGTACGATAAAAGAAAACACTTTACTTATCCGTTATCAGTTTTTCCCCCACATCCGTTAATTATGCAATGCTCTTCAAACCCCAAAGGGGAAGTTTGCAAATGCTTTTTCTAAAATACGTCACAGATTCTGCTGCAAATACCCAATGCTGACCAGTTTATTAATAGCTTTTAATTAAAATTTGAATTTAAGTAAGCTTACTTCAGGAAAAGTCTGGCAGCACTGGCCAGGGACAGAAACCAGTGTTGGTAAGCGAGAGCGACCAACAGCTGATCCACACTGAAATCCCACGGTGCGTTGATGTAACAGCAGCCGGCAAAGAAACTTGTGCATTTAATGTGAAATAGTAAATAAATAGCTGTAATCCAAGCACATGCCATGCAAATTCGTCGTCCGCGAGGTGTTACAGTTCCACAGTTGATGGTGGTCACGGCAATTGGGGTGCTGGGCGGTATTTACATTTGGCAGCCACTGATCTTGAAGTACAAAAACGATAAGAAAACCGAGGCTGAACCAGCAGCACCAGCTGAAACTAGTAGTCCAAGTCCTAAAAAGTTAGCAGACGCCGTAACTATATATTTTTTGGCACCTCAAATAATACTATTTATTCTCTTTCCACCCCCAGATGAGTTTCATTAACAATCTCAAGCGATTCGCCACCACGACTGTCGGTCTAATGGCCATTGGCATCGGATCCACGGTCCTCATCTACACCACCCATCGTTTAGTCATCAAGCCCCATCTTCTCCAGAAACGCCGCCTGGAAGCCGAGGCCTGTGCGGAGTACCTCTTCCAGCAGGAGGGCCACTCGCAGATCGCCCCATCGAGACCCAAGCAGAGCGAATATTGAGCGAGGGATGCCAGCGGTTCTTTGGACATCTTTACATACCTCTAGCCTAGTGATTAGTTACCAAATTTCAACGCTGCAACCATGGTGAACAATGGAATTTTACTTTCATACCTTCAGTTTGGGTGGAGAGACCCATATTCTTATGTTCATTTTAGAGTAATCAACAACGCCTATGTTAAATCCAATGGAATTTTTATGGAAGCAATATGAATTGAATAAATAATGAAAAGCACAATTGGTTCGAAGACTAGACACATAACATGATAAACATTAAGTAAAACAAATTGTAAACTGTTCACCGAATTCCTTTATAGAGGCTCAATGAGCTGCATTTGTCCTTGGCCTTTTGCTCCTGTTTTCGGAGTATGGCATTCCGTTTGTGGGTGGGAAAAAAGTTCCACAGTGAGAAGGTGTCATCCAGGCCGCCAGTGGCTATGTTTGTTCCATCTGGGTTCCACATCAGGAACAGGGTGCCGCGATCCTGGTGGGACATCAAATCAACCACTCGATTTAAGGAGGCCAGCACTAATATTTCGCAAACTGCAAAATCCGAATCATCTGTAGATATCATAAAGAGCATTACTTTTAGTGGTGATCTCGAGTAAAGTCTAGAGAAGTACCCACCACGCCGAATAACGTTGACCAGCAACTCGCCCGTGATCTTGCTAAATGTGACTGTCTTTATAACTATCCTGTCATCCCTGCGCCTGTACGAGGCCACAAATTGCCGCCGTGGGATGTTAAAGATGAAAATCGAGGCAGGACTTCGCTCAGCTGTAAAGTTCAACCAATATCAGACGTTGGATTACATGTAAAAGCAATTGTACTTAATTTTTTAAACCCTATCCATTTCTGGTTTTATACAAAAAATTGTGAGAAAACTGATGTAAAAGAAAAGATTTTAGAAATATTCCACCGTGTAATCATTAAATCTATTTCACCTTTTTTGAAAGATCTTAGGTAATCACTACCAATTATCATGTAGTCCCGTACTTACCAACAACTAAATCCTCACCGGTCCAGGGATGCCAGTCGAAGAGTATAGATCGGCCGCCCAGCTTCAGCAGGCGAACCTTCAGTCCGGCATCGAAGATAAAAATCTTGCCATCCGTATCGCTGGACGCAAAATACTTTCGAGTGGGATCAAACTTGATTTTGTTAACCTTGTGCCGGTGCTCGTGGAACTGCTTCAGAGTTCTCAGCTTGGGCATGGCCAGCACGAGGATGATTCCGCACTGGGTGCCACAAGTGAGCTCCTTGCCGTCGTGTGACCACTCGATGCAACTTATGTAGCCCATGGATTTAAAGATCAACTTGCGATAGGAGACCAAAAACTCCATGGGCGATCTTACCTCCCAGAGGTCCAGCACTTGGGGTAAAAGAGGAGCATCAGGAAGGAGTAAGTCGGTGTAAGAGGACAAGGGCAATACCTGGGTAGTTTCTATCCATGCAGCCGATGGCCAGATATTTGCCGTCGGGCGAGTACTTGAGGGAAGTGGGCGAATCAACGCTGAAGACCATGGTGCTCTCGTCCAGGTTGCGCCACAGCATGATGTCCTGACCGGAGGACATGGCCACCATGCCGCCGGACGACCAGTCCATCATGTTGTAGTCGACGGGACTGCATATTCCGGGCATTTCATGGGTGGCATTCTGAATGGCATGTGGACGCGCCCGGGGATGACATGGCCAGTCCGAGTCCGAGGATTCACTGTCCACTACCCTGGAACGGGTTCCTTGCTGGCTGTAGAACTGAAGCAGCCGGCGTTCCTGGATCCCAAAGGTTCGGTTAATGTTGGCTATGAAGCCACTCTGTCTCCAGTAGCTGTCCGTTAAAGTCTCACCCTGAAAATCAGTATAAAATAGTTATAAGTATATCCAGAAATCCTGATCTCACCGTTTCCAGAATATCGTGCTCTTCCCGCTTGCCAATGTATTTCAGATTGAATTCAATATTCTGGCGATTAAAGCGCTTGGGAATAAACCTTTCACCGACATAAGACACCTCTTGGCCCTTGCTTATGTCACTCTATTTGGAAAAGAAACTGGGTTAGGTTTGTCAAATTGTGTAGGTCCCATTATTTCACCTTGTAGACCGCCTCCTGCTTCCAGTTTTTGCGGCGTACCTTCTTAAAAGGGGTCAGGGATTTTTTGTCCAGCTTGGAATTTTTATTGGGACTGTCGCACACACTCATCTCGACGAACATTAAGATCTTTCTGTTTCGTTTGCGCCATTTTAGAGTTATAGTATTGAGAGAATTTATTTTCTAGGCCCCGAGAGAGTTATTACAGTTGCATGAACAGTAATCTTTGGGTACATCAAACTTTACTAACTTAAGGTTATATGAAAATTGTGGAAGGAAAGAAAAGTATTTCTATTTGGTGGCAAGGTTTTAAAAAGTATATGTTTGCAATTCTTAACAATGGGTTATGAAACCGGCGGTTTCTTTCTCAATATTAAAAGTATCACTTCAAAACTTTAAAAATAGTAGAATTAATTTGAACAGTTTGTTTATTTGTTACCTTTATATCACTTAATAAATACCGATAAACATAGGTAAGGTACTATTCGAAATCTATACTATAGCTATCAGAAATGGCATTTATGAAGATTGACTGGTAGAACGCCTTAAAGGCGTTGTCCACAGGTTGCCGCAGGACGGGCAAATGTCGCGTCGCTGGAGGTAGGTGTTGATGCACTCGCGATGGAACTGGATGTTGCAGGACCCACAGCGGATGTCCCACAGCACCAGGCACTTGCAGAGCATGCAGTTCTTGATGTGCTCCCCGTGATTGGAGGCCAGGTAGAAGCTCAGCTCGACGAGACTGCGCGGCCCCAGGTAGATTCTCTCGTCCAGCTCCATAAAGTAGCCCATTTGGGTCCATATGTGCAGCAGTTCCTGCATGCGGCTCTTCTTCAGCGGCTTCGATGTGCCCTGCAAACCAAGCTCATTGTAAGCGGCATTCCAGGGAATGTGACAGTCCTCTTCAGAGGCAATCTTGTCCAGCAGTTTGGAGAAGTACTGGCAGTCGTCGGGCGACAATCCGGTGTTGGCCACATTGTCGGGCGTGGCGTCCGTCTTGGCGTACACCAGGTACTCCTCGGACTTGATCGGATACTTGATGAAGACGAGCGACTGGCCCAAGTCGCTTATGGTGTCGTTTATTTCGCTCACGATTGCTTTGATGGCCTCCTTGCTGGAGGGGATTGGTACTTTGTGGCGGGCGCACAGCGGGCCCAGGATTTTGTCGATCAGGTCGTAGCTGAGGTAGCTGTGGTTCTTGCAGGCACGGAGGAAGCCACGCTTCACCACCTCCATGACGAATATCGGTGATTATTTCAGTGGATAAAAGAAATTCAAAGCAATTCCGGAATCATCAGCAAAAATGCGCGCCGTCGCAGTGTGGCCAGAGCAGCAGTGCCATACAATACCTACATACGAAATTTGGTCACACTGCGGCGCTATATTTTTAAATTTCGATGTTTTAAAAAAGCTTTAAATTGATATTAACTTTGATAACTAAAAAGTGAATTTTAAAAAAATTGAAAGTGGAATAAGAATATCCTAGTTAAAATCGATAGGGGTACTTTTAAAAAATAAGTTGTCCTTCCATTTTCCAAAATAAAACTATTTTTCATTAAATTTTTTTATTTATTTTCGTTTAGACTTAAAAATTAACAGCACAACAATTAATATCTTCAGAGAGCTTCGCTTTGATTTAAATACAGCGTATGTACGTAGTAAGAAACTGTGTCTTAGATAATAAGGGGAAAAATGAATAGATCGCCAAATCGATCGGCATTTAAACTTTAGAAATAAACCGAATATCCATATTTAGCTCAGTAATCAAAACGATATATTTACACTAACTTTCTTAAAACGAAAAAGCTATAAGTTTATGTTGTGTAAAATACATCAAAAAATTAAATCCGATTACTTCTGCCTTTGTTTTATAACTTTTTTCCATAAAATCCTAAGAGTCTGATTCTCGTCGACACCGGACTTTGAACATGCTCCAGAATCTCCATCTGAATACAAATTTGTTTGTGGTTTCAGGCGAATATTATATAATTGTTTGCATATTTTGCGATGTCGAATAAATAAGAGAAAGAAATATATGTCTATAAGTATTCGTATAAATTTTCACTCGGCCATTTATTTAGGCTTATTTATATGCAGATATTTATAAGTTTGGGCAAAACTAATTAAACTGCAAGGACGCAAGGAGTTGACAAAATTAGAATAAAAGAGGCTTTATATGCATGTAATATAATATGGTGTTATAAGGTATGGTATTGGTGTGTGTCAGCTCGATGATAGGTAGCCTTTTTCAGCTTCAGTGCCCTTACGGATTTTAATTAACTGATAAGCTTGATATTTTTAATTAATGTTTATAACTAGAGTTCCGAATCACATATCGTAAACAAGAAAAAACTGAGGAATAATAATCTAATTTGTACAGATTTCACACTTTCCATTTTAAATGAGACCAATTTCAATAAATAACAAAAGAAAAGAACAATAGATTTAACTTATATGTAAATATTTCGATGCTCGCCTCTAACCTAAAAGAAATAATAATAATATTTAGAAGAAATCAAAATTTTATGTCAATATATAAATTATAATGAATGAATGGTTACTTTTTTTAATTTAAATACGTATTTATGTACAATAGGCGATAAGGAAATGAGGAAATCAACTGCAATTTAATTTGTACTTACATGGTTAGTCGCGTGTTAGAATCTAAGAAATTAGATTATGAGGAAAAATACAGAAATTAAAAGTGAACAATACAAACGAACTGCTGTGCCTTAAAAAGCATTGGTTAATCTGTTAATCAATTCACTGACTGGACTAACTGACTCTGGACTTAGTTTATCATGTCTGGGTTGTCTCCGTCTGTGCTTCGTTTAAAACATTTGTTTTACCAAGGAAAAGTAGACAAAAACAAACAAAAACATTATAAATAGTAAGTAAATAAAATACATAATTAACTGGCTCGATCTCTTGATTTCCCATACAGAAATGATTACATGAAATTATTAGTAACCAGGCTGAGTTCATTTGCAAGGTGATGATTGGCTTCACTCAATTGGACAGACTTTTGTTGTGGGCATTACCAATAAATAGAATTTATAGAGTTGGTTTGTTTTAGATGAATGCAGTTTTTCAGTTGATTGTTGGAGTTGTTGTTATTGTTGTTGTTGTTAGAGCAACCAAAGTTAAATTGATAAATAGTCCGCATGAGTTTGTTAGATGATTGATTAGGATTGGTCGAAGGAAAGACAGAAAGAAAGAAAGAAAGATGCCGCAGAAACGAATAAATAAATTAATATCTTCGCTGAGAGAGTTGTTACATTTTCGATTATATAAGTATATTTGGTAAGCATGCATTTAGTAGTAGTTAACAGTCAAATCAATATTACATAGGTGTTACAATCGTAGACTAGAAATCGCTTGCCGCCGCAAAAACTTAAACATTTAATCAACAATATTGAAAGTAGGTGCAAATTAATATATGCCTTTTCACCTACACCACAAAATCAACATTTAAATTATACAAAAACAAAATATTGTTAAACAAAAATCACATTTTCATGGTTGTTAAGTATTTGACCAATTTAAATAACAATATGTCTACTTTGCCAAAGTGTCTATGGTGTAGATTCTTTCGGGTTTTTTGGTTTTTTTTTTCGGTTTAGTTGAGGTTTTTCGTTTCGTGTGTTAATGGCCAGCTTGCTACGCCTAGGATTAGTCTTTGGTGGTTGGGGTGCTTCGCTCATTCGGTTATTCAATATTTCGGTAGCTAGCAAGTAGATGGTGATTATCGCCGGTGTACTTGATACTTACGCGACTCAGGGAGTTCCGCCGACCCACGCCCGGTCCCGTTCCGGGTCCCACATCCTGGCCAAGACCATTCCCGGTATCGTTGTCTATGCAGATATCCGAGTCCGAGTCCACGCGCCTGAACTCGCTTCCATCCTGAAATGAATTCCACTCGATCAATATCCTTTCAACTACTTTGGTGGACTGGCAAACTCACCTGGGTGAGCTGCTGCGTGGTGGTGAGCAGCCTGGCAATGGGATTGCAGCAAACGGGCAAGGTCTCCAGGAGAGTGGGTCTTGAGTGCGTCAGCAAGGGCTTCATGTACCTTGAGATACGGGATAATTTGTAAGTAAAACGCAGCTCTCGATTGTCTCTTTGCACTCACTTGGTATCAAAGTTCGCCCAGATCCTGGCCAGAATGGCCTTCTCATGGCTGTTGCGACGACGTCCGCCGCTTGGGCCGCCCAAGCTGCCATTCGGTCCATCCGCTGGCGTATCCAAGTTGGACTCTGTGCCACCGGACAAACGCAATTTGCCGCGTCCTCCGCCGCCATTCTCCACATCCTGTAAATAACCATCAGACTAACACCGAGTTCAATTAAATGATATTAGCTCTACATTCAATGAGGGTGAACAAAAGAAAAAATACTAATAAAAACAGGCCTATCTACATTTTGATAAAAAGTATGGTATAGGCAAGGTAAAATTATAAAATCACTTTAAACCAAACGGACATGTATTGTATGATCATTGCCAAAACCTACCGTCTGCGGGTGTGAATTGTCCATTGAATTGTAAACCTTTTTTAGCAGATGGTTTAATGTTGTGAAGTGCAAAGAAATGTATAAATAACAAAAATCATGAGTTACAAAATATTCCTTTAAAAGAATGTAAGAGAGAACTTGGTACTTGCAATCATGGTTTTAAGAACATTATACTTTAATTAAGTCTACTTAATCTCAATAAACCTCAATGCAGTCTAAAATCACGTATAGACGTGACCTTTGTATACTCACACTGTGCACTTGGTAATTATTTAATTGTTCAGTCTCATCGTCAACGCCAACACTGCAATGAAGAGAGATTTTTCGATAGTAAACGCGGAAGCTTTTAAATGTTTGTCATGTACTCACGGTATTTTCAACCAATTTAGCAGAAAATTGGCTGCCCCACCCTGGATTACGACCGTAAAGATGACAATCAGCGATGTGGCGGTCAGCATAGTCTGTCGCGCATCCGACACGGTATTTCGGATGGCCAAGGCAAAGGACATTGCTCCACGAAGTCCTTTAAAAAATATATGCTCGTTACAGATAATCCTTTAGGAGCTACACTTAAAGACTTACCAGCAAAGAAGAGCATGTGCTGAAAGTTGGAGGAGATTTTAGGTTTGCGCTTGATGTTAAGCAGCCAGGATAAGGGATACACATTCACGGCACGTCCTATTGCGGCGCAGATCTGCAAAATGAAAGTATTTTTTGAAACATTCTGAATTTCATAAAAATAAAATTTTACTTACGAAAGCTGTTATGATAAATCCTGCATCGAAATGATGCTTTGGAAAGGTAAACATCGAAACTCCAATGTAAGAAAATATAAAGTTCTCGGCCAAAAAGTTCAGCAGCTCGAAGATCTGCTTGGTCCTTTGGCGCGAGTCCTCCGACAGGTTGTTGTATGTGTAGTGAGCCTGACAGATGCCGCAGAAAAGCACGGCCACCACTCCGGTAAGTTCTGTGGCCTCAGCCAGCAGGAAGGTGCTGTAGCTCATCAGCACAAACAGCGCCGACTCTAGTAGGGGAAAGTCACGAACACGCGTAAATTTGGTCATGTGTGGCAGGAGTTAAGGAAGTTGTTGGCCTAATTGTTGTACTTAAACATATAATTAAGAATAAATTAGTTTTTGAAAAGGATATCAATGCTGTCAAGCAGCCCATGGCGGCGCCAATCATCAGGGACAGCAGAAAGATGGAAAAGAAGTCACTTAACGAGCGCAGGAAAGCTGTAGTTTCGAATTCCCCCGTATTGGAGTAATGTTCACCATAGTTTTGAATGGCTCTGCAAAGAAATCAATACTTATTAATCCCAGTGAACGGAAATAAATGACAAAAATAAAAACAATTACCCGCTTAGGACAATGGCCACGGCATCGTTGAGCACAGATTCGCCCAAGACTAGCGCATATAGGTTTACGTCAACTCGGAGATCGTTGAAAATGGCTAGAATGGTGAGCGGATCTGTGGGCGAAATCAGGGCTCCAAAGTATAGAGTGTCCAGAAATGTGAAACTGCTGCTCAAGTACTTTGGCATCAGTTTCACACAACCGTACATGAAGCCACCGATCAGGAAGGCCGACAAGGTGGTCCCCACAATGGCAAACGTCAGGATGGCACCCAGATTGCGAAAGAAGTATTTCTGCGAACACAAAACTCAGTAAATACTTTACAAGATAGTATTGATCTATATGATCCAACCTTTTTCAAGCTGTAACCTGCGTAAAAGATTATTGGCGGTAGTAAAATGTTGAAGAACACCTCCGGATCAAAGGTTGCCTTAAGATCGATTTCGTTTTCATCCACATCGTGAACTTGCCCGCGAAATACATAGGCGTACGTCTTAATTCCCTCCGGCAGTTTGGTTCCATTCGTTTGGTTGACGGGATACTAAAATAAAGACAACAATTCTATTAGCCTCGACATTGTTTTGATATCTTAATGACTTACTTTAAACCAGAGCGTATCGGGCGGCAACTTGTCGGTGTACGTTGGAACACCTTGCGGCTCCACCTGCATGTGGACAAGAGTGGCGGAGGTGCCCGCATACCGTATAATTGCTCCAACAATCAAGCCTGAAAACGAAAAAGAAATTATAGATAATAAATATATTTGGTTTGGTTTTTAATTAAAATTCCATACAAAAATAAATATTTAAATACCTTAGATCATTGTCTAAAAAACTAGAAAGCTATTTGAATATATTAATTTTCCAACAAAAAGGCAAAAATAAAACATATTCGAAAGTGTTCATAAAAAATTCCACTTATCTACAACATATGTTTGCCTTTAGGTCACTTCAGATTAGATTCTGGTTCCTCATAAATAACTTGAAACAAAAAACAGACTTCTTTCCGGCCTGACCTATCGCAAAAGCGAGAGTGTGACTAATAGAAACGAGCCGATAAGAAAAATGCTTAGTCAAACCTTATCGAACAAAAAACAACCACTCAACAAGTGATTTTAAGGGTTTTTACTTATTCTGCCGCTTTTTGTAATGAACACATCTTGGGGGTTAATCAATCGAGCTGCCATAACCAAAAGCTTTCACCCGCTCTGTTGAGGAATGTTTACAAATCCCAATTTACGCCCGACCTGGGGTTTCATCAATTCCCAGGCTAACCTGTTTTATTGAATTGTTTCATTAGCTTCAATTAGTTGGAAGAAATCTTGTTTGCTCTTTTATTGCTGCACACATATGTATGAATATATAAAAATGTTAGAACAACAAAGTACTCGGCGGATTGGCGCGCTCATGAACGAGTGAAAATGTATTTTGGTCGGAAAACCCCAATGATAATGGCTGACTAAGCACGACAAGGTCTCGTGTACAATATCTTCGGTGCCACAAGCTCTGCTGTTGTTGCGTGCAGGTGAATTCTTCTATGGTTGTTTACTTTACATATCTTTCTGCCCAGGGTGGCTTTCACTGCCTCTCAAATGCTCGCACTTAATGTCACGGCTGGCGTACACAAAAGCGTAATTCCGAATAACAAAGAGGTGACAATGAAAATGGCAGGTCTACAATAAGACAGGTGACCGATAACGAAGAGCTTTGAGTTTAAGAGAACAACGGAAAAAGGGGTGTTAGAAGACAACAATAGTTAGTAGTAACTAGGACATTAGTTCTAAGGTTTTAATACCGTCCACAACAATAAAAATAAAATATGTTATCTTCAAAACAAGACATTTGATAAAATAATAATAACAATTTTTAGTCTGTGCAGATATATCATAAGCGACATTAAGTAGAGACTTGTAAACGTTTCAGTCAAATAGTTTTAAAATTAAAAGTTTAGACAAGCCAGAAAGCTAACAGCTTGTAAATTACACATATGTACGTATTGCGTACATACATATATCCTCTTGAAAATAAATATGTAAACTTTAAGGGCCCTGAGAATTGATGGTGAATATATAGAAGGATACCCCCCAAGAGCCTAAGGATCCAACATACCGTATATGACGGCCAGTCCGGTCTCGTGGAGCCAGGAGACGCGATGGTGCTTAAACAGCCATATGGTGAGGACCGTAAGGGCCAGCAGGAACACGAAGACGAGCAGATCCAGGCTCTGGATGCGGTGGTTCAGCGTGGCCTTCGCGTCCAGAGCGATGTCCGTGTCCGTGGCATTGCATCCGGAGATCAAGACGCACAGGGTCAGTGCGGCCAGGAGGAGCACGCTGCTCCAGGATGTGTTGACCTTCCGGAGAACGGTTGCGTCCTTCATCCGGCTGGGCGATGTCATCTTTATTTCCGTGTCCACATCGCAGTGGGACATAATTTCTGGTGATTCAGCCTGCGCCCGCAGCCGAAATCGATTTTCGCGTTACGACGTCGCTGTAATTGATTCGCGCACCCAGGAGCGGAGCCCTGGGGTTGGGGGTGGTGCTGGTGCTGGGAGCAGGACGACCACGCTCAGGCGGCGTCAGTTGAGTGGTTGACCTCCTCTCGGTTGGTTATTTAATGCACAGTCGTTTTTAAAAATATATTTGTTAAAAAAGAGCTTTATTCATTTTTCTGCACTTCACTCCGGATAAAAAAAACAGTCAGTTCATATGGAAACAAACCGTATGAAACTGTAGTGTTACCGTACGCGACCAGCGGTAAAATGCCAAAGCTGCTTTTCAACAGGAGCGGACTTGGAAAGTAAGGTTATTTTTAAGGTACCGGTATTAAAATGAATTATATACATATTTGTATCTAATCCAAAACTGCATTTATTCTAAGCTAAAAATATCAACAACATTTCTAATGCAGTTATTTAAGTAGCATATTAATATATATTAAGTTGTCATTTTTTTTTACATTCCTTTAATGCTTTAAACAAAAAAAGGTTGGGTACTCCCTAAATTGTTGAATTGTTGAAATATGGTCAGATGATCCATACAAACTCCCTTTTCTGACATTTCTTCAAAAACTACTAGGTTATTGAACTGCTGAAAACCAGAGTTTACCTTATTTCATTTAAAAGGCATGGCAGCATTACATGTTTTACTTCCGAAAAATATAGGGTCGATCCCTTAATTTATGTCTTCAACTTGCAAACCTTGCTTAACAATAACGTTATGCGAACGTTATGCTAATCCATTTAATTTTCAGCACTAACAGCCAATCTTGGACCCCGTAATTTTCGATTTTCTTACAATTTATATAGGACTTATTATTCTTTTTAATATCTGAAAGCCCAAAGACAAATGTGCCAAAAAATAGATCCACTGCTATTTACAGATATTGGTATTTGATTTTATTCCAAAAAGTGGGTCTAAGGCAAATCAGAATCCTATCAATTATGCCAGTGGTGGCAAGTTGAAATCTGTTTGAGTGAGTGATTTGGTCCCCAGTCGGATGTTCGGGAACGCATTTCAAAAAAAGTCGGTTTTGAACGCATTTTTCTACACAAATCGACACGCATGAACATTTTTCAAGGCAAACGGGCGTGCTAGGAGCATTGTATTGCGGTGCGTTCAAGATGTGTTTAAATATAATGCGTATAGCTTCATTTTGCTAGAAATGTAAAAACAGAATTTTACGACCTTTTTTTTGGTAATGTACTCTTGAAAGACAAATGAAAAGACAAAAGGAAACCTGCAAAGAAGCGCGCGGTTTTTCTCGTCTCTTGCATTTCTCGTCAGTTGCATTTTTATTTTAAAAAGTGAAGTTCGTGCCAAGCGTGTTAAAAAGTGTTCTTGCTTTCTGCCACCAATTTAACATAAATATTTTCACAGGCAAGTTAAGTGTAGTTAATTATGTGTAGTGCAATATTAACACAATAGAGTGGAAGAGAAAAACGTAACCACAAAGACACATTTATGTACATAAGATAGAATACAAATTACATAATACATATGTAAAAACGTATAAGAAAACTAATTAAATAAACAACATAACCATTATATGTATGTACAGTGTACACTTTACATTGTACATTTTACAATGTATCAAAACAAAGACTATTCTGCTCCAAATATAAAAACAAATTTGTGTTTGTTTTTAAAACTGTGACATTTGTTCTAAGCGTGCCAAATATATCAAAGAGGGTACCTACTTTTAATTGTTTGAATATTAATTAAAGTTGAAATAAAAATTACATTTTGTTATTGCAATATTTTAATCCAAAATGTGGTTTCTCTAAAGCGAGCAAAATTCCAGGTGCATTCTAAATAAATTCTTTCCAGAACGTGTTCCAGAATGCTATTATTTCCTACTGGGCGGGGCACCCTATCAATGGGTGTAACAACTGCTGGTCTACGCTGTACGTGTGCAGAAATATTTCCTATAGTTATTTGAAAATCTTAAAAGGTATTAAGTTCATTTAAGCATAATTTTTTTAATCAAATTTATTTTTTAATATTTTTGTAATAAAATGAAGTCTGAAAATTTTAGACTCTAAAGTTTAGAGTCAAAGCCCTGCTTTTCAAGCGATTTCATTTTCCCTTCTAAGGAATTAAATAATCATCAAAGATTTTGAGAGCCTAATATTGATTGCAAATGTATTCGATGAAATGGACCTTGAAGAAACCATAAAAGGTAATGGACCAAGGTGGCCAATTCTTTAAGGATTACTAAGTGAACCAAGTAATAAACTGTTAGGAAGTGTAGGTTTATTTGGACTCACAAAAAACATCAAGCTCGCATATTTTAGATGTGGTTCCTGGTTCTATTTTAATTATGATAACATTTAATTTTTAAATTTCTTATCTAGTATTACTTTATTTTAATTTAATTTTTTTGGGTTTTTGACATACATATTTTCTATACAAATTGTGAGAAAGGGCTGGAAATATTGCCTAAAACACTAGTTAGGAATATCATAATGCATTTGCGAGCGATTCTTGGGAGAAGTGCTGTTGAAGTGCGACGGTTGTGCCCACAGCTGGGAGCTCTTCGTCACCGGTTCCTGGAATGTGGTCGGGATCAACTGGAATCCGGGCACTGCTCGGGAACCATGGCAGACGGTAACCGGCAAGTTAGCTCCCCTATTGCCATCCAATAATCGCAATCCCAATCCTAAGCGCAGTGGCCAAGAAAATCAGGGAGCACATTGGGGTGGAGGGGGGATATCACGCTATCCCGAAGAGTCGGGAAGGGCTGCTGAAGTTCCAGCCAGATTCCAGCGACTTGCCGGAGCGCTCCATGATAGACTCACAAACGACCGCCAGCATCCTCATGGAATCCGATGCTCTGATGCGGGAGCGCTTTGTGTACGGAGGCGGCTTGCTGCGCATGGGCAGAATGATGGAGGAACTCGACCTCCTTGCCGGTAAGGTAGATAATCCGATAGATAATCCCGAGAAATATGTGGATGTATGTAGAGCTCCATTATACTCCTTGCAGTTTGGATCTCCCATCGGCATGTCTTTCTGCCGAAGCTGCCAAAAGGTATTCCATTGCCGTACACTTTCGTCACCCTGCTGGTGGACCATGGCCACTTCTTGGTCGAGAAGTTCAAGGCGGATGTGGATATCTCCCTCTCCGGTCACGTTTCTTGGTCAGGCAATAGTTCCATGGAGATCACGGCATATGTGCGGCAAAACGGGATGCTCCTGGCGAAGGCCATTTTTATGATAGCTGCTCGCGATGCTACCAATTCTGGTCCGGCTCCAGTGAATCCCCTGACTCCGGCCAATGAGCTGGAGAAAAGCTTTTACCAGGAGGCTCTGGAGCGCCAGAAGCGGCGTAAGGGTAAATTGCCCCACTTGGAGATCAAACGGAAACCTTCGAAGGAGGAGGAGCAGATCATGTACGAGGTGTTCACCCGGACCAAGGGTATCGAGGGTCCCACACCCACGGATATGACTGCTCTGCCTCCGGATTGCCGTTGGATGTCCAATTCTCACCGCAGAACCTTGCTGCATCCGTTTCCGGAGCACCGCAACGAAGCCAATACCATATTCGGAGGCTTCATCATTCGCAACGCCATCGAGATAGCGTTCATGACGGCCTCCCTCTTCTCCAAAAACTATCCCGTGATCCAGTTCATATCGGATGTTACCTTCACCCATCCGATTCCCGTGCACAGCTACATGAAGCTGAAAGCTTACGTGGTATACACCCAGGATAACTACGTTCAGCTGATGACTGTGGTGGACGCGATAGATGGCAATAGCTTTACACAGTTCCAAAGCAATACGGTGCACCTCACCTATTCGTGCAGACAAAAGGTTCCAGAGGTCCTGCCAAAAAGTTATTCCGAGGCACTGTGGTATCTAACAGGTCGTCGATACTTTCAACGCTTTCTCGAATCAATAGGTCGAGACATGGAGGGCTGTGAAACATCTCCTCCGGAAAACATCAATGGAGCGGGAGAATGCATTTAGTGATAGGAATTAGTGAATGGGATCAATAAAGCAACAGCATTTAGCAAAGCAGTAATATTTTCAGAAGAGTTGATAAACTAGTCCCTCAACTTTTAAGCTATCTGGAAGACAACTTTTGCAGTAGTCCTCGCCTTATGTCCTATATTGACCATATAAACGAATACTAAGTTGTATGTTTAATTGATACAACAACATACATACATGGTATTTTTGTTTTACATAATTTTTTAATTCATTTTAATTCTGTGGTGAAGAGGGAAATCTATTTTGAACTATTTATGCTAATACAACCAAGAAAATTTTGAAATGAAAACATACTGAAAAGTACAGTTTGAGAATATAGAAACATTTATTCGACCGTTAAGGAAAATAGATTAAGAATAAACTTCAAAAACCACTAACTGTACAAGGATTGAACATACACACAACATTATGTATGACTGGAATTCTTATGAACAAAAAACATTGACTATTGCCTGATCCGTTATCCCATGGAGTTAACTCTTTGGTTGGGCAGCTGTGCCCGCAGATGCGGCTGCGATGCTCCCTCAACTCTTAGAGCGGGCCGCATCTCGCTTGCCCTGAATCCACTGCTCGATCTCCAGTTTCAGAGCCTCGTTGGACTTGACCTTGTCCATGGTGAGTGGTTCGCGATTGAAGGGATCGGTCTGATCGCTTAGGAGATGACGGGCAATGGTGGAACGATCCACAGTAACCTTGGAGCTGGGCAGCACGACAGGATCCGTCATAAGCGTGGAAATAATCGGATCCAGATACTCTTCGGGCGCATCGGCCAGCAGCTCCTGCTCCTCCTTATACTGAGCTCCCATTCGCGCCACCTTTACGGCAAATTCGGACAAGTCGCCGATCAGTTGGCCTCCTCCGATCCGGACTAGAATGTTCTCGGCGTAGCCGAAAAGCTGTTCACTGTAGGAGCGCCCATCCTGCGACACCGCCAAACAGAAGCTGTCATCAGTGCTCAAATTGATGTAGATGTGAGAGATCTCCAGCACCGTCTGAGCCGGATCGAATTCAAACTCCTTTTTGTCCTTGACCTTGAAGCGTTCCTTCCTCGGGCCAACTAAATGCAACAGGAAGTAGTTCAGCATGGCTGCAATGCGATCCACCATACTGTTGTGGCAGAAAATGCTCCTGATCTCCGTGGTCAGAAGCTTCAGGATGTTAATAGTGTCCCTTCCGAGGATGTTGTCAAAGCGCGCCAGCATTCCCAAGTGTTGAAGGTTAGACACCTGCTGTTGGCGCTCATTATGCGACAGCGCATTCCACTCACCATTATCCTGAGCCTGCTGCAGCTGCTTGATCTGCTCCAGGTTGGACAAAGACTCGTCAAGTAGGAAGATGGCATCATTAATTAACAAATTGATGAATCGCAGAAAGATTGGCGGCTCAATGGCCTCCATGTTTTCCTCCGCTTCGATGGCCAAGTCCCGGAAGCACTGCACGTGCTCGGGCTTTGTCCACAGAAACTCCATTATAGCATACATGGGCCGGCGGTAGTTAAATTTCTGCTCGAACTGCACCGACTGTCCGGTCATCTCGATGCTAACGAAGACGTTCAGCAGACTGCGAACCACCTTCAACCGATCCGAATGGTTGTCAAAGACATGAGTGACGAAAGTCTGTCGATTGCTTCCAAGAATCTGTGTGGGCAGTAGAAATTCCAGGGCTTCGGCTAGTTTGGCACGAAGATGAGGATTTTTTACTAGCCCCGAGCTGCCCATGAATAGCAGTATCATCTTGAAGAACGCATCATGGGCGGAAAAATAAATATGGATGTATTGATCGCCGTTGAGTCGCCGGCAGAAATTCAAATACGCCGAAATGTTGTCTATAATGCCCTCTGGCACGGATTGCATATAAGGAGCCACAAAGGGCGGCGTGTCCGAGAGCAACTCCAGGTTGCGATGTAGTTGTGGGGAAAAGTCCCGCTTGTCCAGACACTGTTCGAAAATCTCACGCGGCAGCATTGCCACCTCCGTCAGCCAGATCGCCGAAGCCTCGAAGAACTTCAGCAAGGCGGTGTCATTTGTGGGCTCGGACAGCGTGTTCTTTATGCACAGCACCTGCTGCATCTGTTCCAGCATCATGCGGAACAGGTTTTTGGTCAGTTCGTTGTTGGGATCGCTGTTCAGAACCTCCCCGTAGGCCGTCTGGGTGTTTTGTAGTTCGCGCATAACGCGAGTGAGGCGTTCAATGCAGGGACGATGGGCAAGTTCGAAGCATTTGTGGGTCATGTAGAAGATCTCCGTCACGAAATTGTACTTTTCAGCCGTTAGACGCTCTTCGCCCTCCTCACTTGGAAGCAGACAGGTCTCGTCATGGGCCTTTAGCAGGCTCACGCCCTTCGCCTGGCGATCCTTGTCCGGCACTGCACAATAAGTAGGGTCCACTAGAAGAACCTGCGACAATGGAAGATAGGTTTTAGATTGCACTGGTTTTAAAAACGAGTTATTTACAATATACCAAAAAACGAAAAAAGGTAGCTAAAGTGTAAAAATATATTTACCTTTAACGAGGGCAAACACAGAGGAGCACAGAGACGAGTGAGAACTGCACAGAGGCTGGTCATGAAAGCATCGCTGGCCGTGCTGTGAACCGTTTGTTCTAGGTTCAGATTGATACTGCTCCACAAGTGACCGCGCGACACATTTGCATCCAGGCAATTGGCCAGCCATTGGAGTGTCTTTTTCTTGGTCTCGGGCGACAGAACAAGCAACTGTTTGACGAGCAGGAAAGTGGACTGCTGGTGATGAGATAAAACACCCCACAGGGCGGCGTCCGTTTGGTTTAGTGATAGCTCTTGGAAAAACTCGTACTTGGCCGTTTGGGTCTTGGGCAAGATTGAGATGCACAGAAGACTTCCCAGCAAAGTGTCCATGTACTCGCCACCTGCAAAATATCAAGTTTAAAATGTAGTAGAGACCGGATCTAAATTATTTAAATACCAGAAGTCTCACCTTTAGCTTTGGGATTCGGAGTGGTAAAGTCAATGAGTAGCTCTCCCAGGACGGCTGCTCGCTTATCGCGCACAAAGAATCCCAGGATCCAGAAGACGTTCTTCTTGACCGTAATCAGGTTCTCCTTCGCAATGAGCTTTTGCAGATCGGTGAGCATCGGGTAAAAGATGGCCTTGAGGGCGCCCAGGGCCTCGATCGGTTCGTCCTCCTCCACCACCTTGCAGGCGACGCGGACCAGGAACTCTTGTGTGCTGGTGTCGTGCTCGTCGGCCTCCTCGAACATCTCCAGCCACTGGGCAGCGAAGGATTGTGGAGCAAAGAGATCCGGCTGGCGCATGCAGGTGCTGGCATTGTTCAGGATCAGGGCCAGGACCTTGGAGCAGTCGGTTTTCCGCTCGGCCTGAATCCGCTCGCATCGGGAAAAGGCTCCGCGCAGGTAGCACATTGCCCGCGGCTCCAGGGCCTCCGGACTGGCGTTGCCCACTGCATACTGGCCGGTCTCGCCCAGCATAAGGCGCTCGAAGAGGGCGTGGGCCACCAGGTCTTCCCCCAGCGTTTCCTCGCTGGTGTCCACCACCACGTCCGCCAGGCACAGGCCTGGGGCGGAGGAGGCCTTGTTCAGCGTGAACAGGAGCACCTCCTCGACCAGCTTGTGGGACACGCCATCGGCATTGGTGCCCTCCTGGAGCAGAGCGGCGAACGGGTTATCCTCGACGCTCGTCATCGGGAAAATATTATATTTGCTGTCAGATGTTTTCCCTTGAAAATCTGACTGGTCACAGTGTGCCCGTTGGTGGTGACCGTACAAATACACTAAAATATGCCACTTGGCAAAATGACGGTATTCCCGAGGGCGGCAAATCGTTATTTTCAAAATTATTCAAATTTCGTTTTATTTTTTAAAAAGCGGAAATTAACAATGGTAGTTTTTGCTGCTACAGAAGTAAACCTACATTTATAAATTACATAATTGAAATATAGTTTAAAGTGAATGATGGTACTTGTTATAAAATAAAATAAAATAATTGTTATAATGTAATCAGTCCGCACCTGGTTTTAAATGTGGAGGTATCAGAATGGCGGTAGCAAATGGAGCTTTGTTCTTTCTGGTGGCATTTTAACTATCGGCTGCCCGTTTAACATTGTCACTTGAGTTTAAGACGCTCTTAGGATATCCACTTGGTACATATTTTAAGTATCGGCTGCCAGTTTAACATTGTCACTCGAGTTTAAGACGCTTTTAGTTTATCCACTTGGTACATATATCCTTGCTATATTCTTCTTGGCCATATAAAATATATACATGCTTTCCAGAAAGTTTTTTTCTGTACTTAAAAAACACAGTCAAATAGAATTAAACAACAAACACATAATTAACTTTCGGCATTTAATTTCCGTATTGACTTTCATGATTGCGAGTTCGCTTCCCGCGAGCGAAGAACGTTATCAATCTGCTTTTCGTTAAGTAATTGCACTCGATTAACCTTCTTTATCAACGGGATTTATTTAACAGCTCATATCTGGGCCAGCAAAAACCGCAGCCGCATGCACTCAAAAAATAAATCCAAAGCCAATTAAGACAATCAATCGCAATGCGACCCATAACGAAGTAAACCGACTGGAATACTACAAGCGCCAGCCTGGTACTGGTACCACCCATCATACCACCTCGCGCCCCCCAAAGCCCCGAAACCACCCACCTCCACAACCACCCTGTCCACAAATGTCTTCGTGCATTGTTAAATCGGCTTATGATCAGCCAAAAGTACGTTGATTCCACATGTTACTCGTATATCATTTTGGCAGTCGACGAGGAATTTTCAAACGGTAAACATATGCACGCAATCCGATTTTCCATCGGAAGATTAACTTGGTACAGTCAAAATCGCAGCTGGGAAGTAATTATCCGAATGTATTTACATAAGTGAGGGACTGTGACGCGATGAAATAACGATTTTTACCATTTCAGATTATTTTGAAAATGAGTGTGGTGCGACCTCTTAAGCCCGCCCTTCAAGACATATGCATCAGGGAATTGAACGAGGTGCCACAGCGGGTATCCCAGGATATCGAGGCTCTACGAGAATGGGTCTTGAAGCAACCACATTTGCGGGCCTGCACCGACGACCAGTTCCTGCTCGCCTTTTTGCGCGGAACCAAGTTTAGCCTGGAACGGGCCAAAGAAAAGTTTGATCGGTTTTATACCCTGCAAGGAACCATTCCCGAGGTCTTCAATGATCGTCGACTGGCCACAGATCCCCAGGTCTTAGATATCATAAGGATGGGGTAAGTGTTCTTCAGACAGAGTCTTAAATACAACCATTACTAGCTATATTTCTTACAGAGTTCTACTTCAAATTCCCATGGATGTGGACGATTCGGGACCTTGTGTGACCATTATTCGAGCTGGTTCCTACGACACTAGCAAGTACAAGTTTCAGGATATAATACGAGTCGGTTCCATGTTCGGTGAGATCATGATGTTCGAGGACGATAATGCCACAGTCAGCGGTTATGTGGAGATTATGGACATGTCGGGGATTACGGGTACCCACCTCTTTTCCCTGCAACCGCAATTGCTGAGCAAGTTTTCCACCTATGCGGATGAGGCGATGCCGACGCGCCAGAAGGGCATTCACTTTATCAATGTCCCTGCGGCTTTCGAAACTGCGTTCAATTCGTTGCGATCCTTTTTCCCAGCCAAAATCAAGAGCCGGGTGAGTCCAAAAACTACTTACGATTCTCTCTTAACTGAGTTCTGAACAACAATTTTATCTTAGATCTCTGTGAGCTCCGATCCGGAAGCTATATTCGATATTGTGCGTCGCGAATATTTACCCAAGGAATACGGAGGAACAAGGGGCAGCATGCAGGATATAAGCCATACCATGGAAGCGAAACTATCTAGTTATGAATCATACTTTCAGGAGTCACAAAGTTTTGGCGTTAATAACAAGTTGCGCGAATTCGGGGACAATGTGCGAAAAGATAATCGATCCTCCTTTGGCGCTGTGGGGTCCTTTCGAAAACTGGAAATCGACTGAAATTCAACGTCACGATTTTATCAATGCCAAATGCGTAGATACCGTAATCTTATCTGGAAAAACAATACAGGCAGTCGCAACACTAAATACATTGAGTCGTAGAATTTCCTATTTATAAAACACCTTCAAGAGATATGTGTGAAACTGGTGAAGCAATAACCACAAAGCGCCAGAAGATGTGATATGTGACATTTTCAGGAGAACTCTATGGATATTCTAAAAAATAGATACTTATAATATAAATGTTTTTAGTTTTGTTAATAAATTGCACTATGTTAATATATTAATTTAGCTATATTTCAGTTAGTTGGAACTCCAGTTCCCATCCTTATAGGGATCCATAAAGTTCCTATAAAGCGCAAATACAAATAATACGAAAATTTAATATCTTATCGATTTATAGTATGACCTGTACCTACAACGTAGAGCTACTTTGGAATCCAGTGAATACCCCAACTGGAATTCGATAGTCGTAATCGACAACAGCTGAAAGCTTTTACGGTCAAAAGTTTTTGATAGTATGTTTTCGTCATAGGAAGCAACAATTTTACCTTTATATACCATTCACCGGAATACAGGGCCTTCTCCACTGCCGGTTAGCCTAATCCTGTAGGAATGGCGTGCATTGACAATCTCAATGATGACTGCCTGCTGTAAGTCGCTCTATAACCTGGAATAGACCTTTCCATATCAGTTGATTAGTAAAATTGTAGAGTACCTGAATCTGGACGAGCAATTGCAGCTATGGAAGAGTTCGGAGCCCTCATCCCGCCTGAGATCGGTGCTATCGTACACATGGCAGCACCACACAGATCACTCCGTGGATCAGGAAACCTTCGCGGGAAGTCCCGACGTCCTCGAAGATTTCCTGCAGTCCATACGCTTCTCTGTGGAGGAACTCACGCTCCGGTACTTGAACATGGAACAACTTGAGCAGTGGAAGAATCACACCTTTCCCACCATGCGGGAGCTGACCTACATGGGGGATGAAAGCAGTGAGATAGAGGGCGACTCAGACATTGCGATTCTGGTCAAGTGCTTTCCACTGCTGGAGGCCATTGGGCTGAGTGGAAACTGCAGTGGTCAGCACATTAGTCAGTGGAGGCATCTTCGCCGACTCGATCTTCAGCTATGCTGGTACTTGAACACCCAGAACTTCGAGGAAATCTGCCAAAACCTTCGGCTTCAGACCCTGAGCATCCAATGGCACAAAGCCGAGGAAGATGCATATGTGCACGCTATCGGTTCGTTGCAGGAACTGGAGGAGCTGGAGCTGGACATCGTCCACCTCAGCCCTGACAACACCAGCAAACTATTGCGTCTGCCCAAGCTAAGGAAGCTCCTACTGCACAATTTTGAGCAGATGGACGAACTGATATCGGACATTGGACGTCTCAGGGGTCAGGATGTGGTAACCGCTGCTTTCAGCGATAATATCTGGATGATGCGAGCTGAGGTGTTGGCCAAGTTTCGAAACCTTCGTTGCCTGACCCTCGTAGACGATGAAGGCTGTGCCGCCGTTGACTTCCGCCCGATAATCAACTGCTTTCCTCTCCTGGAGCAACTGCATCTGGAGAACTCACGGATTTGGCTAAATGCCGACGGAATATGGGATGTGGTGCTTGCATGTCCACGTCTCAGAATCTTCAGCATGTCAAACCAGGTCCTGTACGACGAGTTCTTCGCCTTTAGCAAGTCAGCCATGAGCCGTGCCTTGAATAAGCGGAGGGATCCTTTAATCATGCATTTTTACAAAACTTCTAAAGAAGCCCTGGTATGTACATTACTCACTACAACTAAAATGTATTTTAAAACTCATCTTATTCCCCAGATTGCCCAGCACTTTGGACATCCCAAACTTATAGTTTCCTATAATCCGACGAATAGCATTGACTCACAATTACCTGGCGAATGTATAGAGCTTGAATTTGTACAGCAAGAAACGTGACCCGCAATTAGGTTTTAATTTTTGAAAGTAACATCTTGTTATTTATTTTAAAAACCTCCCGTCTTTAGGACTTGTATTCCGGTGGAAAGCAAAATTATTAAAATGGTTGTTAAAAATATGTATATTACATACTTAATTCAGTTAAATGATGTTCGCCTTATAAGAGACTAATAAATACTTTAATTCCTATTACTTGCTTTGGAAGAACTTTAAAGTAAATTCTAAGTATTTTTTGATTTAATAGAAATAAATTCTAAATTGTGCCTTCACCAATAATCAGACAATGCGGTGAATATTTGTTGATTAAAAAATAAACCTTGTTTTTTAATCTGCAACCTTTACTCAATCCTATTATAGATAAAAACAGATGTCATTGGGTTTTTGTAATTATGTTTAATTTCTTTGAATTTTCTTGGATATCAATCACCATTCAGTCAGGAGTTTTCTAAGTCGTTGATGTTGATGGATGCTCCTGAGATCCCTGTTAGTGGAATCGATTTGATAGGCCGATCCGACCCGCCCCGACCCGACCTTTCGATAATCATGATTAATAAATATATTTGAACTAGTTTTGAGTCTAATATACTTGGTAGGACTTGGTTACACGGGAAAACCCCTTCCCTCATACCTCGCTGTAGGGACGCGAGTTCGCGCTTCGTCCCGACGAAATTGGCGGCGGACTCGGCGGTGGACTAAAATCCGTCTCCGTATCGTTGTAATTGTAGCGACTGTCCGACGGGGACAGTGAGCGGTATGTGCGCGGCGAGTGGTTGTAGGAGTCGCGATGGCGGCGACCCCAGCTACCGCTGTGCCTGCGGCGATGGTCCACGCCCCTTTCGTCCTCATCATCATCGTCGTAGTCATCGTAATCGCTGTAGTCCGAGTACCGGTCCCTGTCCCGATCGCCTCGACTCGATGGCGGCGGGGAACGCATGCGTCCCAGGGGCGGAGGACGTGCCCCGCCCGCTCCAGTGGGCGGCAGGAATGGCGGCGGCAGACCCATGAACGGAGAGAAGGGTGCCGCCAGGAATGGCAGTGGATTTGGCATGTTCAGCAGTGGTGAACCCGGCAAGGGGAGCGGCGACGGAGCCGTCTTTAATTCCGCCCCGAGCACAGGCGCTCCGTTGGCAACGATGGCCTCCATGACGCCTGGATCTCCGGCAACGCCTCCTCCGCTGGCCATGGTGGTCAGCTTGCGCCTCAGGCCGGCGGCCTCGGCCAGCGCCTCTTCGCATCGGCGCTCCGACTGGCGCGCCGCCAACCAGGACTCATGAGCGCGGTTCTCCAGTGTGCCCATCTGGGCCTTATGCGAGGCTATCTGGGCCTCGATCTCGGCACGGAGCTCGTCATTCTGAGATCTGCAAATACTTTTACTTTTAATATTTTCTTACAACTTGGCTGTTAGGTTCCCTTACTTGAGAGTTTGAATTTCATTCTTCATCAGCGTCTGGGTCTCCACAGTGCTGGCATTCTCCCCCTGATGCTGCAGCCATTTGGTTTCCTGCAGACTCAGTTCTCTGAAATGGTTATGTAAAATGAATTAAATTCCTCATAAAAGGTATATTTCGATAACCTACTTCTTAAGTTCGTTCTCCTTCTCGCGGAAGTAGCCCGATAGGACTTCGAGTCGCGTCTGGGCTTCCAGCTTGTCGCGCTCTGATTGGTTGAAGTCCTGCTTTAGCTGCTCTACATCTGAACTTGACTGCTGCAGCTGGCTCTCCAGCCGCTGCTTGTGGGCCACTTCCTGCTCCACCTTCGCCTGCAGCTCAACGAACTTTTTATGGGCTGCGTTTAGTTCCCCTCGCGTCTTGGCTGATGTGATCAGCTCCTGGATATTGAGGTTGGCATCCTTCTTCACTGCCCTTAGGCAGTCTTCGAGAGCTTCGATCTTTGCCAGACTGGTCTGGAGATCGCCGTGTTCCCGCTCCCACTTGGCGGTCAAATCGAGAATTTGGTTCTGCAGCTTCTGCATTTCGTAATTGCGTGCCTCCAGGGCCTTGGCCAACTCTAACTCCGTCTCGGCCTGGATTTCTTCAAGACGTGATTGCAGCTTTGACTTTTCCATATCCAACTCGTAGTTGTCCTCTTGCAGGGCCTTCAGTTCGCTGGTGAGGCGCGCTGTGGCCTCCGTGAAGGAATATTGAAGTTCGCTGTTCTCGCGACTCTTCTCCGCTAGACTCGAGTTGATCTCGATAATGATTTCTGAAGATAGTAAATAGCAATAATAGAATAAATATTAGTTTCAGATAAAATTCCCCTTGTGACTACAATTTGGACATATTCAAGATAGAGTAAGGGATATACTCACTTTCTTGGTCATTAAGCTGACGCTGCAGTTCATCAACGGTGTTCATAAAGGCCTCATCGCCATTCTGGCTGCTCAGCACCTCCGACAGCATCTTATTCAGCTCCAGACCAGCCTCAGCCGCATTATCCAGATCCTTGTAACGAAAAATACTCCTTTAACAACGCTTAAAACGATTAATTGCAAGGACATACCCTTTCCAGCGAGCTAACTTGCTCCTGCAGCTTTGCCTTCTCGTAAAGTTCCGATTCCAGCTGCTTCTTGAGGTCAGCCACCATGTCGTTGGAGCCAAAGGAGTTGTCCTCAATGCTGGCCAACTTGGTTCGCGTGGTCGTCAGCTCGTGCTTAATAATCAGGTTCTCCTTTTGGGAGACCAGTAGACTGCGCTCCAAATGGTTTAGCTTTGCAAGAAGTTCTCCCTCCTGACTACTGTTACAGAAGCAGTAGTAGACAAAAATAAAGAACAGGGAGGAAGCAGCCGCAATAACCAAACACATCGAGAGTCGGCTGTTATCCACCAGCTTCGCCGCCATTACTTCCGCAAAGTTTTCAAGAGAAATGGAGCGATGACAGTGCTCATCGCTGGTTTGATACCGAGCACAGTAACCATCCACATCGACAGGAGCAGGGTCTGAAAAGTTTGAAGAAACAAATTAGTATTGAGCAGCATAGTTCTTACAAATTAGATGAGTAGTTATCAAAGATCATATAAGTTTACAAAAAGCATTTAGCTCCAGCCTACGAAACTGGCCTTCTCTTACATAAGAATGTGTTCAGCTGTTTCTCAAATTGAATTACCGAAACAGTATTATTTACTCACTGGGAATAATGTGGACATTATGACTAGCTCACCTTCTGGTTTCTTTTGAGATGATGCCACCTCAGCTATGCCTGGATAAAGAATTCGTTGCAGCTCATCGCTGTTATCTGATGGACCAGCCTGTGGCTCCTTTCCGATGAAATTGTTCACGGTGTCCACAATAGTGGCAAAGAGACCACCGCCCACGCCATCCTCTTTGACGGGTACCTCTGAAGCAGGACTAGATGTCGCGGGCAGAGCTACTGGCTCCACGGAACCAACTCCCGCACGCTCGAAGTCTGTCGGAGATGCTTGGGTAGACTCCTCGTGGACTGCACCGTAAGGGGACTCCGTGTCAGGTGTTGGAGTAGTTTGCTCTGCACTTGATGGGTTATTATAGGCACTTTCTGTGGGGTTATGATGGTGCTGGTGATTGTGATGCTGCTCTGTCTGCTGGTCCTTGTAGTAGTCATTCGGGTTATCGAACCGTTCGTTGGACTGTGTATCCACTGAATCATTAAGCTGCTGCAGGTCGTCTTCCTGGACCCGCAGTTGCTGCTCTGCCTCCTCACTTGATCGCTGCTGCTGTTCTGCTAACTCTTGCAATCTTCTCTGCTCCTCTTCTTCCTCTTGTAACCTTTTCTGCTGCTCTGCTTCTTCCTGTAACCTTTTCAGCTGCTCTGCTTCCTCTTGTAACCTTTTCTGCTGCTCTGCTTCCCCTTGTAACCTTTTCTGCTGCTCTGCTTCCTCTAGTAACCTCTTTTGCTGATCCGCTTCCTCCTGTAACTTCTTTTGCTGCTCCTCATCTTCTTGCAACTTCTTCTGGAGCTCCGCTTCTGCAATTAATTTTTGCTTCTGCTGCTGTTCCTGCAATTGCTTGTAGTAATCATTGGGATTCTCAAAGTTCTTCTTCTCAAAAAGAGGCGGCAGGCCAACAGGTTCCGCATTTGGGAAAGCCTCTTCGATGGCAGAAACGGTTGAGCTGGTCACTGACTCAGATTGCGCTCCCTCCTCAGATTGAGCTACAACGGGGTCAGCAGTGTTTTCTTTGGCAGGCTCAGTTTGGATTTCAGCTGAAAGCGTAGCTGTTTCCTCTTTAACATCATCTTTAACATTGGGAAGCGGTGTCTCAGTCACCTTTTCAGTAATATACCCCACTGACACAGGGTCTAAAGGCTTTGATTCCACGACTGCATCCTGTTCCGCTTTGGGAGCTTCCTTTACCTCCGTCTGTTTTTCCGTTGTCGCCTCATTTAGTGATTCAGTGGGCAAAGGGCTTTCAGAGTTAGTTGGAACCAAGGGTTTAACTTCTTCCTTCGCCGGCACCTCCACTTCAACCTGCTTGGCCTCAGCCTCTTTCTTTGCGCCCTCCAATTGATCAGTTGCGTTCTTTTGCTCAACCGAAAGCGGGTTTACTTCAATCGAATCGTTAATTGACTTCTTATCGTTCGCTTTTTCTGTGATCGATTTGTTATCTTCAGTACCTTGTTTGAAGTCGTCATCGTCGTCGTTGTCGTCTTCGCCTGCCTCGTCATCCCCGTAGTCGAAATCCTCAGAGTCTTCAAGTTCAGCGTTGATGGCCTGCAGCAGTGGACTTGGCTTCTGAGCTTCGACGGCAGGCAGCTCGTCCGTAGATACTTCCTGCGGTTTACTGGACTCAGAAATTGACGCCTGCGGCTCTTTCGTGTCAACAGCTGCCGAGGCGGATTCAGACTTCGTTGCCTCAAGGGGCTCCTCTGTCTTCTCTGGAACAATGGTGGTTTCGGTGACAGCTGGGAGCACCTCCAGGGGCAGCACAGTGCCTTCCACCAGCTGCACCGGGGCTTTGGAAGAAGCCGTAGGATCAGGAACCTGCTGATCCTTCAGTTTGTCCTGCTCCACCACTATTGAATCCACGGTAACGTCGAGTGGTGACGTTGTGGTCGTTGCCAAGTCATCGGATGACTCAGAGGCATTGAGAACGGGCTGCAGCGGCGTCTCCACGGACTCGACTGGTGGGCTGCCAGGTCCCAGCACTGGCACCTCGAACTTCAGGTCCTTATCCCGTATCAGGACCTTCTTCTCCATGATGAAGTCCTTGTTGGCATA